CTCTCTCTCTCTCTCTCTCTCTCTCTCTCTCTCTCTCTCTCTCTCTCTCTCTCTCTCTCTCTCTCTCTCTTCCCCCAATGATAATGTCAATTGAATCCACAAAACTCACCAATACCATACACTTAACTTATCAGCCCCAAACCAGAATGTCATGAACTCAAATGTATCATAGATTAGCCACTCTCTCTCTCTCTCTCTCTCTCTCTCTCTCTCTCTAAATATATATATATATGATGTTAAAGGAATTCATGGTTCTGACCTGCAATAGAATCCAAATACTGAAAGAGACAACCCCAACAGCTACCATAACCAACCCAAGTACCCAATCACTTCTGTTTGTAGAGAGGAGGTGAAGACTTGGGCTCTGCCCGAAATTCGCAGAGTGATGGTAAAAGCTTGGGCCTTTCCATAACACAATAACCAGAGCACCTGTTACAGATAAAAAAGTCCCTAAAATCTTCCCTTTTCCTATCAAGCTTTTGATCTCGGCTTTCTCCTGCCTTGATATCACAGAGAGAAGATATGTAACAGCAGGTATAAGGTTCAAAATTGCAGTTTGTAGTGTGCTCGAGATGAAATACAAGCTCCCTGAGAAGAGATTTTGAGCCACTGTTATCCTGCAAAAAGTTGAGGAATCATGAAACTCAAGTGCAATCTTTCTCCTCCTTTTCACAAAAGTAAGAAATGAGAGAGAGAGAGAGAGAGAGAGAGAGAGAGAGAGAGAGAATACCCAAGTAAAGCTAGCAAAAAACTCCAGCCCAAAATGGGGACTGCCAAAGGAGGCCTTATCCTCCTGCAAAAAAAAAAAACCAATCAATCTTTCATGGAAAGCACCCAAAAACAGATAAAACTTGGAATCATTACTTCTCAATGAAGAATGCTGGAGCTGAGATGACAATGGTGGCAACTATATTTTGGTAGAACACAAACACTGAAGAGCTGCTCCCTTTCATGAAAACTGTCTTGCTAAGCACAATATTACCAGACATACACAGTTGGGTCAATATCATACACAAACTAGGGAGGAGCTGTGATGAATTCTTAGTCAAAAAAGATGCCATTTTTTTGTGTTTGATCTGAAAGAAAAAGAAGCAGAGGATTTCGAGAGAGAAAGAGAAAATGGAGATGGAATATGAAAGTTTGATCTATTCTTATCTATTCTTACTCTTGGACAACTGATTGGCAGTGATCAGTAAAAAGAAAGTGAACTTTGACTTTTGAATGGTAGCTGGGATTCCAAGCTTCCCACTTTCAACTAAAACTTCACCTTCTTTTTACATGTTTCCTGCATTCTCTCTCTACAATAAATTTTGCATGTTCCCAGTTTCTCTCCCTACCTGCACACTCTAAAGCGGTGTTTGGAAAATCGCCGTTTCGGATCAAAATCGTCCGATTTGGATCGGATATTGTCCAAAGCGATCTGAATCCAATCATATATCGAGATCTGAAAGAACCAGGTTTTTTATATTATTTTTTAATATAAATTTATTTTTTAATACAAATTTATTATACATACCGTGTTTAAAAAATTACTGATTCGGATCGAAATTACCCTATTTGAATCGGATATTGTCCAAAGCGTTCCGAATCCAATCATATCTCAAGATTTGAAAGAACCGAGTTTTTTACATAATTTTAATGTAAAATTTAATTTGTTAATATAAATTTATTACACATACCACCAATGAACAAGGGTAGGGCTATAGCTCAGTTAGATAGATGCTTTTTTAGAGGAGTCCATCATAGGATCAAGGGAATTGATATGAGAGATCTAATGCTTTTTCAAGGGAGTCCATCATATGATCAAGGGATAACTAATGGTTTGGGCGCCAAACAGAATCAATCATTGATTTGATTGATAAATTGATAAGGTGAATATTGGGTGAACCATTCATTGATTTGATTGGACTCAAGGGAAGGAATTGAGGGCATCATTGATTTGATTGATAAATTGATAAGGTGAATATTGGGTGAACCATTCATTGATTTGATTGGACTCAAGGGAAGGAATTGAGGGCATCCTGGACTCAAGGGAGAGTATTGGATGAAGGATCAAGGGAATTGATATGAGAGATCTAATGCTTTTTCAGGGGAGTCCATCATATGATCAAGGGATAAATAATGGTTTGGGCGCCAAACAGAACCGATCATTGAGGGGAGTCCATCATATGATCAAGGGATAAATAATGGTTTGGGCGCCAAACAGAACCGATCATTGATTTGATTGATAAATTGATAAGGTGAGAGTCCATCATATGATTAAGGGATAAATAATGGTTTGGGCGCCAAACAGAATCAATCATTGATTTGATTGATAAATTGATAAGGTGAAATATTAGGTGCCAAACATAACCATTCATTGATTTGATTGGACTCAAGGGGGGGGAATTGAGGGCATTTTGTACTCAAGGGAGAGAATTGGATTGTCTATTCTCGACTCAAGGGGAGGGGAGGACTCGCAAGGGAGGGAATTGGATTTGTCTATTCTCAACTCAAGGGAGGGAAGTGATATGAGATATTGATGTTTTACTCCATTGATTTTAAGAAAGGAAAGAACAACCTTCACTTATATTAAGGATTAAGAGAGAGAGAGAGAGAGAGTTTTATATGGCTATTTCAGCCTTTAATCGCTGGATGTGGGACTATTCGTGCTTGCTTTTCAAGTACGTAAAAGGCTAAAAAATAGGGTATAAAGGCTTAGCTGGACTAAGGCTATAACAAGGAAAAGCTACAAAATAGCTTTCTTTCTCTAGCTAGTTCTTCTATTTCATGCCTTTTCTTTTCTGGTTTTTTTGTCACAACAATAAACAGGATTGGATTGTGGAAAACAAGCCACTTTTATTATTATTATTATTATATTTATTTTTTTTCTATTTTTTAGGGTAAATTTTTTTTTGTTTTAATATCATAGTACTAAAATTTATAAGGGGTTTTATTTTTTTAATCCTGTGAAATGGAATTACTTGACCAAAAAAAAAAAAAATGGAATCATTTTCTAATAATTTTGAAATCATAATATTATAATTAATAATTATATAGTCATCCAACATAAAAACAATGTCTCAATATTCATCTATTTTTACAAAGTAATGAGAATACATAACGCATCATTTCTAATTTCTTTTAGAAACTAAAAGAATACTATTTTTAATATTCATAATAATTTTTTTAAAATATTTTGAAAAAAAATTTGCTGATTCCTAATTTATTGTTAAATTTTTAGATTTTAAAATTAGATAATATTATAAGAAAATTTTCAAATTTATTTTTATTTGTATAGTAAAATAATGATAAAATAATAACATACATACCAATAATTATAATTTCAATGTATAATATTGTCTTTAGTTAGATTTTAATAAATATTTGAAGGGAATCTTCATACAGGGAACAAACATCTAAATATTGGCATATTGATGAAAAAATAAAAGTTAATAATGTAGTACCCTCATTTCTTATTGGATTATTAAAAAACAACATTTGTAATGATTTTTAATACATTTTTTGGATTTTTTTTAAAGTTTAATCCGACTGATTCGGCCAACTCCCGATCCAGATAGCTGATTCACCGATCCTGAAGGGTTTTTGAGGGCACCGAATCCGTTTTTTAAACCACTGCTCTGAACTAAAAACTTAACCTTCTTTGTCCCTATTTCCTCTTTCTAGTTATTTATTCAAGGGGAAAGGTTTATTTACTTCCCCTACAGTATACAATATATATGCTTTTTCTACTATCAAACTGTCCAATTTTGATCAAGAGAGCCTCTCACCGTTTGATCTTAGATCCGACGTCTCAAAGTATTTTATTTTTATTTATTTTTATACCATTGTATGGATATGAAATTTGGTACGTGCCATCTTCTCATTGGTGCACACCTATAAAAACTATTAAAAATAATTTTTCGATAAAATATAATAACCAAAATACCCATTGAAATTTCAGGGGTATTTTGGTCATTTTTATTGAAAATATTTCTTTTTATATTTTTCGCTAGTGCGAGTTTAATAGAGGATTGGGCGTACAAAATTTGGTGTTAAAATAGTTTATATAAAAAAAAACTTAAAAATAAAATAGTGTAGAGACGTAACATTGTAATTGGGGCAATCTTAGCCCTCCATTCAGATTGGACGGTTGGATAAAAGGAAATATATAAGTTTTATGTTGTAGCGGAAGTATAGAATGCTTGCCCATTAGTAATTACTATGAACGCTATACACTACACATGTTTTGCAGCGTTCATGTACTATATACAGGTGAAGCATCTTTTGTACATTATTGAGATGAGCGGCAGGGATGAAGCACATATTTCATATATAAATGGGGGAAAGGGAAATGGAAGCCTTTTTTTTTTTGCATCATCTATTTTCAAGATGGACGGTAGGGAAGAGTTGTGGATAAAAAATGGTGATTACATTCATTTGCGATGAATATTAGATACATGTGCCTTTAGATAATATATACAATATGATTATTTATCTTCGGTAAAAAGATGTCACAATTCCTCTCAGCCATTGGACGTGAAATCATGTGCCTAGAAGTATATTGGCTCAAAGTCCTAAAAAAAAATATGCAGAAAAAAAACATATACCCAAAAAAAGAAGAAGGGTGGATTGAAATAAACTTGTTCTTTGAGCAATCCAAGGGATTATTAGGGATAGTAGAGGTGGTTTATTGATGAAATTTTTTTGGACGTATTGGAATTGCTATAGCTAATGAGGCAAAATGTAGGGTTCCACTGCTGGATGTTAAGTTAGCAAGTGGTTTAATAAGCCTACTGTTATTGAAAGGGATTCTATGAATATTGTGAAGTGGATTAAAGGGGAAACTGATTATCCCTAAGGTTTACATAGCTTAATTAGAGAGGTGATTGATGTTTATAAGAGTTTGGAGGTTCAGATTGTTCATGTTTATAGAGAGAGCAATATGGAGGCTGATGCTCTAGCGAAAGCTGGAGTAAGTGCTTCAAGTCTAACCATAGTTCTAGATTGCTAAGCTCTTGTCTGTAATTATTATTATTATTATTTGCCCATTATCCTATGATTGTGCAGGTTGTAATATTGTAATCTAATATTAATATAGATGTTAATGTTTTACATAAAAAAGGTATACCAAAAAAAAAAAATTTAGTCTAAATTTTCATCCAACCAAGCAACATGAGATGCTTCAGCAGATGTTGTAACTCTTAAGAAAAAGCTTATATGAGTGTGAGGCTCTAAACAATCAAATTAGGGCGAATCTCAAAAATTTCATTAGAAGAGGCTGTTTGGATGCCCAAATATCGTCAAATTGATCATCTCAAATTCAAGATGAATGGACATGAGAAAAAGAATTAGATTTCAAGTTTTATAAATAGTGCATCTTGTAATACATTTTTTGACCGTTAATTTTCAATATTTTAAGTTTTCATAGATATGCTGATCTACACTATTCTCTATTTTTGAAGTTTTAAATTTCATAATTAAATATGATTCTCGACACTATCTGAAGGTGCGCTTTACTTTGATTGTTTAGAGCCTCGACACTATGACCTCTGAATCTTTAGTTGTGAATGATGAAAGAAAGACTAATGTGATCTTTTTGGGGAAATTTTTTTTTTTTTTCTTCTTTTCACCCCTTTTTTTTTTTATTTTCTTTTTTTTTTGGGCAAATATCACTTACAAGTAGTGTTATTACAATAATTATTGCTTCAAAGAAAATAAAATTAACAAATCCAATATCTTAAAAACCTTGATGCCATTAAACCAATTTTCTTTAAACAAATAAAATATCTACAATTCTTATGCTTGGGAATATAAAACTAATATAATTAAATATAGCAGGAAAAAAAAAAAATGCCGGAGATTACCTCAACCGGGCTTATTACACCCCACACTTAATCACCAACATCTGATGGTGCGGGATCAACTGTTTAGCTTCAATCTCGAACCAAGAAAGCAATTTTCAGCCAAACTGAGTATTCACCATTAAATCTCTACAAACTCTAATCCCCAAATTTTTCTTGGCTTACCCCTAATTTTCCAACCCTTGGTATTTTTAAAGCATGAGAGAGAAAGAGAGAAACCTAGGGTTGGGGTGTGCCCCTCTAGAGGCTTAGGAGAGAGAGGGTTAAAGAGAGAAAGTTCGAGAGAGAGACATAGGAGAGAGAGTGTGTCCTTTTAGAGGCATAAGAGCGAGGGGTTAAAGAGATAAAGTTCGAGAGAGAGACCCAGAGGAGAGAGAGTAGGGCGTGCCCTTATAGGAGAGAGAGGAGAGAAAGAGAAGAGTTGTGGGAGAGAGAAAAGTGTAGAGAATAGGGAGATGGTGCACCCCTATTTATAGAGAAAAATTAGGTATAGGGTTTCTTAAGGTTTTTCATAGTTTGCATATTTCTTGAGATTGAATATAGACCGTTGATCAATGTGACTTGTGGGGTGACAGATCTGAGCCATCCATTCCATAGATGGGTCATCAATATTATGGAAGTTGCTTGGACCATTATCCCCCTTTCCTTAAACCATTTTCCCATTAATATATTTAAATAAATTGTATCTTATTTAAATATTATTCATTCCATAAAATAACATATTATTTCCCATACTATTCAAAGATTTCAATATTTAGGATAAGATGTGGTCAATCTTTTTCATATCTAATATTAGATCACATGACACAAGATACATTTCCTAAATTTGAATAACTTGACAACAAAACAAACAACCAGGAGGTGGGTTGGGTGGCACGTGTAGGCCCCACCCACATGGTACATGGTGGGCCCATGTGCACTATGGGTCCCCCATGATATTTAACAAATTAATTTTTAAAATATTAATTGAATTTTATACTTTTGTAAAATCAATGACTTTATTTTTATAAGTCCAAAAAGTTATAAGTAAAATATCAAAAGACTCATAAAAATTCAAATAATAATTCGAAAGTAATTTCTATCATAAAACAAACATAATTAAATTAATATGATGAAAAATGAATCCATATGATTTAGGAATTGAATTAACAATCATGGGGCACTCCACCTTCAACTGTAAACTACATACCACACTTACTTTATCAGACCGATCTAGTGTTTTTCATGACCCACAGTCCAAGCAGGGGCTTATTAGCGGGTCACCAAAGTTTGGCCGATGAGCTAAAGGGTCGCAATCCCAGTCTGTGGATTTCAAGTCATCTGATAGAGACGAGTCAAGGACACCAAGACAAGACCTTATGCGACCACAACTCTATGGTGCATAAGAGTATCTCTCACACATACATATGCTTCACCCCAAAAAGTGGATTTGCATGCCATGTGATGAATCATGAATGAGGTTTTGGCCCCCATTTATATAGGCCTACCATCACACACAAGAGTCACACAGTCCCTCGGCTCATTCATCCAGGCATAAGCTCCGACCTCATCAAGGGATAACCTAGAACCCTTATCGGTTTGTTCTCTATGCCCAGATACCTTGAGTTTTCTAACCGACTAGTCTAGATCGTCAAATACAACCCGGTATTAGTAAACATCGTTTGCTTAATATGGTCCATGAGGGACCACACTCCCATTGAGTTCATGTTCCACTATATTATTTCATTTTATAAACATTCATAAGGCCTTTAAAGGCCACATAAACCCAACAAATGAGTCATTCTCCTTCTAACTCTATAATTTTTTTAAGAAATTTGGAAGAATATTTTTTCTAGAACATATCGATGTTAACTTTTTGGAATAATTTTTTTGGAATATGTTTCTACTGATGAAAACTTTGAGTAATTTTTTTATTAAATCAAGAACATGATTTAATCACATTCTTAGCTTATCTTTAAACTGAATCTAAAGATTTCACATGGATGATATGAATGGAAGTTTCAAAAAAAATTGAAAAATGGCGTCGTTAAAATTAAAACAACAAAGAAGTTTTTTTTCATAATATATTTAGCAAAACTTGGAGTATTTTTTTAATTTAAAAAACCATAGATATATTTTTGAAAATTTTGAGTTTTACTCAGAGATTTATTAACTATAGTATAAGTTCGATGATCCAAATTAAAAATAAAAATAAAAAAAAAACAACAAGCATTATATGTAAAACATTTATTGTTTAATAAAGCATGAGTTAAGAGACCCTTAAAATTTGCACATATATTCCAAATAAAAACAATAAAATAATTTTACACAATAATGTGTTGGCAAAAATTAAGGGGTGTAGTTTGTATAAGGTTGAGGCTCTAAAAAATCAAAGCAAGGCGTAAAGATGATTTTTCGGTAGGAAAAATTATTGTGATGGCCTAAAAATTTATTTTCATGTGGAATTATAAAATTTTAAGCTTCAACAATAGTGTAGATAGAGTAAATCTACAAAATATTGAAAACGAATGGTATAGATAATGCATTACAAGATGTATTATTTTCCATATTAGGAAAATATACGATTAGACCATTTACCTTTGATATAAGGTCGTCATAATTAATCTTGACCATTGGATTTGAAATTGGGTGGCTGCATTAATTTCATTGACCAAGTTCAAAATTCAAAAGAAATTTTTTCGTACTTTGTGACCCACCCAAGCTATCAGATTTCACATCAGATGATTGTAAGTCATTATGACTTCCTTTACAAAAAGTAAATGGTCTCATTTTATATAATCCCTTTCATATTTGACATCCAAACAACATATCTTAGTGAATTTTTAGGATGCACTTTAATTTAATTGTTTACGGCCTCAACCTTATATAATTTTTTTTTTTAGGTGAATCATATAAGCTTTTTGCAACTATAAGAGTCTTATATAACACGGCTCACTAAGGTCATCTTAGCAAGGGTGAGGTTTGTATAAGTTTGACTTCTTATAATGTGCACCTATAAAAAGTTACTTAGAAATGTCATTTTGGTATTGAAAACCTTATCATGGTTTCAAAATCTCCTTTATCCTCATTTATAAAATTTAAAATTTCAAAAACCGTACAGATCGAACAGATCAATTAACACTTAAAGATGGACGGTCCAAATAACTTGTTACAATATGTATTATTTTATGGATTTGGAATTCTTTTTGTACTTCATATTCATTTATTTCAAGATCGAGATGATCAATTGGAGGGTTCTCGCATGTCACTCTCCAGTGTAGGATTTTTGTGGTGTACATTTCTTTTTTTTTTCTTTATTCACTACATGATTTTTGAGGTGTATCATTGTTTTTCTTTTTTTTGGGTAATTTAGTGGGGAAGACAGGCCCTATTTGTTTTTTTCAGTTTCTTAATCCACTATAAGATTTTTGAGGTGTACCATTTTTTTTTTTTTTTTTGTTTGGGTAAACCTTAGCCGTTTTTTCAAATAGACTATGGGAGTTACATTTTGAAGGTATTAATTAGGGGTGTCAATAGTAGGAATGGATAATATGTCGAAACTAGATGCGGGGATGCTACCACCACGACCCAATCTCTTTCCTAGGTGCACCTTTCTTCAATAGTATAAGGTTGCAACCTTATATAAACCTTTGGGGCCAAATCTTTTATAACCCAAACTGAAAAATGAAACCGAATTTCTAAGGGATCAATAACACTAAATTCCATAAATGACTATTAAACCCCTGGATTTCAAATAGGGACTCTGGTTTCTCCCCTTATAAAGGCGCCAAAAACCCTAAATCACGCTTCAAAAATCAACCATTTGCAGCTTAAATTCGGCCGCCGAAAATTTACCTGATTGAACTATAGTTTTAAATTGTCAGGGTTTTTTTCCTGTGTTAATTCCTCTATTGATCCGTATAAATATGGAAGCAGAATATTATACATTTGGACCGTATAAAATACACGAGAAGGAGGTCTTTTACACTTCCCAATTGTCCTATGCTCTCGTTAATCTCAGGCCTCTTTTACCTGGTATGTAAATTTATCTTTTGCTCTTATTTTAAAAAAAAATTCATCAGTTTTTTGTAACTATTCGAGAACTTTGTAATGGGTCCCTACATTAATAATAGCAATTTGATGTTTGGTAGCTTGTTAAGTTGTACTTCTTATTATTCTTTGAAGATGGGGTGATTTAGTGAGTGAATTATTTGTTTTTTAATTCCTATTCAAGCCTGGTTTTTCTTATTTTGATGACGTTGCTTTGATCCTGCATCAATATTTTTTATTTTTATTTCCATTTTTTCTAGGGTTAATCACCATAAAATCTGAATCATGCATTACAAGAGACTGATGGAGTGATGGGGTCTTATCATATTTTTTGTATATGTTGAGTTTTTGGAAGTATGGGTTTTTTTATTTTCTTGCCATCCAGCCTGATTTTCGGTTTTATTTTGGCAGGTCATATCCTTTTCTTTCAGGACATATCTCATCAGCTCATGGAAGTATGAAATCACATAATTATGGAAGACCCATTTTTTTTTTTGTTTTGTTTTTGAATTTCTTTTAAATTTCATGTATATTGTATATTCGTATCTCACTGATGGTCTAGTACTAATACCCTAAATATTTTTTTCGTAAGGCATAGATGATAGTTAACAATAATTTTCAGTAATATAGTTAATTCCTTCACAATATACATGTTCACAAAACAATGTATTGGTTCTGGTTCTTACTACAAATTTCAACATGGAAAAACATTTATTGGTAATGCGTTGTCCTTTGGTATCCTTAATGCATAATATTACATGTGCTTGTATGTCCAAGGCGTGAAGTCAAGCGCTTTGTAGATCTTACTGTTGAAGAAACCAGTGACCTATGGCTTACTGCTCAAAAAGTGGGTGCTCGACTCGAGGCTCACTATAATGCATCTTCACTCACTTTTGCAGTTCAAGTAAGCATTCACTCAAGGAGTTAGCAATCTATGCATTCATACATTTAACATATTATTACATGCTATATCAAAAACTGTTGGGGTGTTAACTGGAATGTGTTTTGTTGGAGGTTTCTCAATGAATATTTATTTAACATGTACAATTTGGTGTGGTCGATTTTTTTATTTGAAATGCACAACTACACTGACCAGATGAATGTGTATGAGAACTTTGTAACATGGAAGTGCTCCCATAGGAAGGTGGATTTAAGCGCATGATAAAGAATTTATGTCCATAGATAACAGAAGATGATTGGTTCCTATTTCTATAGGGGCATTGGCCAAATAAGTACATTTTGAGTTAATTCATTCCTATGTCAACCTTTGTCTAATTTGATTTTCCTTGCATCTTTTTGTCTATATGTTATAGCTGAGAGCATTGTGAGGAAAATGAACTATAACCTTTAGGAAAATGAACTATAACCTTACTTATGATCCATTGTGATTTTCTTCATGCTTTTTAGTGTCATTTCTGCATTGTCAGGGCTATCCATGTTCTTTTTGTTGGGATTTTAGAGAGGGTCTTGGCAGTTGAAACAATTGATATGGCCCCGATGGAAAATAGTTATTGGTTGTTGGTACCAGCTCAGTAGTTTGCTGCTCATAAATGGGAAAGCAGCCTCACAATAAATAAAAGAATCAGTTTAAGATGAAGCAGCTCTAAGGTCATGTTGACAATCTGTAGAAGACATAATAGCAGACATCGAAAGAAAGAAACCTGGCATATCGTATGTATTCTATATATATAAAGCCACAATTAAGGGTTGGACACATGGCAGTCAACGAGAGTAGCAAACTATGAACAGAGGGACTTCAGAGTAGTATATCTATTGAGGGCCATCCTACAAATGGGAGTCTGGGATAACCTACCTCCCAATCGAACTCAATATATGTTTTCTTTTGTAATAAAACCTTCATTAGTAATTGGCAATATATAGTATGAAGTCTCATTGGAAAAGGAAATTCTCCTTTAAATAAATACTTAAGAAATTCTCCTTTTAATAAGTGCTTTATCTTTATTTTAACCACTGAGAGTAGATATTCAGGATGTAACTAAAGAAAGATTCTCTCCTGTTTTTAGGATTATTAGTTCTATATATACACATGCTAATTTATTCTACAATATATATTAAGTCATAACTATGAGTGGGGCGGCAAGACATTCAACGAGAGTAGGACCCTACAAAGAGAGACACTTTATAGTAGAATACATATGGAGGGCATCCTTACAAAGTGCGAGTTTAGGGTGATCTACCTCCTAATCAATGTGAATATCTTTTTTTTTTTTGGGAGTAAAGAGAGATTCTATCTCATTTTGGGGATTATTAACACTGTATATACATACATTAATCATCATCATCATCAGAGTGTCATCCCAACTATTTGGGGTCGGCTACACAAATCTTATTATGCCGTTTTGCTCTATGAAGGCCATACCCTGAGTGAGAACATTAGTCGCCTTATCTTTTCTCATTACTTCCATCCATGTCCTTTTGGGATTCCCCTTTGCTTTTTTAGAGCCTTCCACTTGAACCAAATTGCACATCCAAACTGGTGTTGTATCGGGTTTATGCTGCACATGGCTAGCCCACCTAAGCCTATTGTCCCTCATCTTATTGCCTATTGGAGCTACTCCTAAATTCCCTCGAATGTAATGTCTTGCCACTCATCCATCTCAACATTCTCATCTCAGCTACACTGATCCTATGGTTATATTGTTTCTTGACCATCCAACATTCTGTCCCATAAAGCAAAACTAGTTTCACAATTCTCCTCTAGAACTTCCCTTTCAACTTCATTGGTATGTGGCGATCACATAACACTCCGGTTGCACATCTCTCCTTAGCTCATCCGGCTCTAATTCTATGTGCAACATCTTCTTCAAGCTCTCTATTTTCCTAGATTATCGACCAAAGATATTGAAAAGACTATCTTTTTGGCATTCCTTTTCCATCAATCTTAGTTGCTTCCTTGTTTCTACTCCTATTATTACTAAACTTGCATTTCATTTATTTTGTCTTAGTCCAATGCATTTTAAAACCTTTAGATTCTAGAGGATCCCTCTAAGGCTCTAACTTTGCATTGACGTCGCTTCTAGTTTCATCAATCAAAACTGTCATCAGTGAACAACATACACCGTGGTACTTCATCTTATAGATGCCTAATTAGCTCGTTTATAACTAAAACAAAGACATATGGGCTCAACGTTGACCCCTGATGTAGGCCTATTGTCATTGAAAACTCACTCGTTTCTCCACTAGTTGTCCACACACTAGTTAATCTATGCTACATATATTAAGTCATAGTTAAGGGTAGGGACATGTGGCATTTAATTCATAGTTAAGGGTAGGGACTGGTGGCATTCAATGGCGCGACTGGACCCTACGAAGAGAGAGCCTTTAAGGCAGGGGACCTATGAGGGGCGACCTAGAAAATGGGAGTTAGGGTAATGTAATTCCTAATCCAATTCAATTTATATCTCCTATAATAATGACATACATCAGTAATTTATTTGGAAATATATAATAAATGATTGAATAACGAAAGTCCCTTGTAACAATATGTTGACGTTATCCAAACTAAAAAGTAAATATTGTGGATGTAAGTAAAGAGAGATTCTCTCCTATTTTGAGGATTATTAACATTTTTTCAAAATATAATTCCTAATTTCCAAATTTTATGGAATTTTAGAAAAATAAATTATGCGTGAGTTTGTACTCAATAATAAAACGTGCATCATACGTGTTTCTTGCTAGTTAGGAAAGAATGCCAAGTAGCTTTGTGATATTTGGACTCATACGTATATTGGTACAGGTAGTGGGCTTGGGGCCTATGTTATATGAATATTGTGTCATGGACAAGGCAAAAGAATTTGAGCATATAGAAGCATTAGAGATTCTGTGGAGCATTAAATATTTTGTTTTAGGTGTAGGCAGATGTGCCTGGAGTCCTGTGCTCTACTGAAATCACCAATAAACCCCTTGACTACCAAAAACTAGCAGAAATGCTGGCAGATCCCCAAACATAACTGCATGCCAGTTTAAAGTTCAGACTGTATGCATTTTGTAATTTGTTTTTTGATAATGAATGTGCATTTTGTAGTTTGAAGAGGAAAAATGATTGACCTGGGAATTAAAAAGAAAAAAAAAGCGAAATATGCAAAAGAAAGGTTGAGGCATTGAGCTAAAGTGTATTCTCCAGTTTTCTTATCATACTACTCATAGTAATTCTTGCCCTCATTTAAGTCAGCAGAAAGTGTGCCTGGTTCAACAAGCTCATGGAAACAATGGCAACTGGCGCTTCTTAGGCACATCTGATGCCTTTTCTAGAAATTTACCTCTTGCTTTCATTCTGGTGCTAGCAGTTCTAGTTGAAGAATGAAAGAGATTCAGCTTGATGTTTTTCCACTTTGATGATCATAATATTTAGCGTCAATTGTCTATGGTTTATTTAAAGCTTCAGAAAGAATGCCTGGTTTAATTAGCCAATGGAGACACTTAATACCTGATTGTTGGCCACTTCCTAGGTTATTTCTATTTGAAAATCTCCATCTGCTACATTCCGGGAAAAAACAGAACTCTTAATCTCTTGAGGAAACTACCTAAGTTGAGGTAACTGAGGCACATAGTGCACTTGTTAACAAGAAGAAGGCACATAATGCACTTATTAACAAGAAAGAAGGAACATGTGCACTTATTAACAAGAAAGTGTCACTGAGATACTGATTAAAGAAAAGACAATTGTAACTGTGATGGAAAGATATATATGCCTAGGGATTTAAATGTGTTCATTTATTTTTTTTGAATTGTAAGTGTGTTCATTTATTGTGAAGATGCATAAAATATATCTCTATTTCTTGTAGTACTTGTTGGTACCAAAGAGATAATAGCATCTTTCTTTCAATACTCCAAAGAACCACAAAACTTGGATTCTGTAACATTCAGAAAGAATCAACTTGTCTAACTTTGATCCATAGGAGCAATTAGTCTAATCGTTGTTTCAAATTGAAATGAATTTTATTTTTGGATAAAAGAAAAAAGGTCATGTTGTGATGAATAAAAATCAGATTCATTTTAAGATGTTAGGAACAAAAAATAGCGGACCAAATGTAAAAATAGATTCTGGGTATTATTTCCATAATGTCGGGAAAAGGATTCATACTAATCTGACCAATTTTAAAATTGAAAACCACCTAAGTAATTTTTTCTGTCAATGAGTCATAGGAAAGCAGGATAATGTATTTGATAGATAACCAGATGACCTTTTTTCCCTGAAAATTATTGGTATTTCTAACAGTTTACTGAAATAATCGAAACACAATATGAAAAGAAGGGACATATTGTCAAATTGATGAATGCATATTCATGGTGTATGAGCATATTTTTTTTCGACTACCATTGTAGAAGTAGATTTTGATAATTGCGGGATTATTGTCTTTTGTTTTGGTCATTTTTTACTAAAGTGCTACTATTTATTAATTGCAATGCAGGATGGACCACAAGCAGGACAAACAGTCCCACACATGCACGTACATATCCTTCCCAGGAAGGGTGGGGACTTCGAAAAAAATGATGAAATTTATGATGCTGTAAGTATTTGTATTTTCACCATCATTTTTTTCATTCCTTTCGAGTCTAAAAAGTACGTTTTCTTTGCTGATTCTTTTGGTATCTCATAATTTTTTTGCTTGCAGATAGATATGAAAGAGAAGGAATTGAAGAACAAGCTTGATTTGGACAAAGACAGAAAGGATCGAAGTTTGGAGGAAATGGCCCAGGAAGCTGATGAACTAAGAAAGCTTTTCTTGTAAGTTCCTACCAAATTGTTCCTGTTATAAGATCTAACACTCATTCGACTACTCTCCAAAGAGTTGTTTGCTTTGTGGAATTTAATATTTTGCATGGATCAATGGTTGTAATCTCCAGCTATGCAACCACATAATTCAATTGTAAAATGGAGGTGAGATGACTTATTGTTCTTCAAATGATTGCGCATATATTTATTCCAGTTTCCTAGTTTGTTCTTTTGGGTTTGTATCTCGAAGGCTTTTCTGGTTGCCCCTTATTTTCACTGATCTAAAGATTCTATTACTCTCTCTCTCTCTCTTC